AACCCCGAATCGCCGAACGATCTGTCCAAGACGCCTTGACGGCCTCCAGACGGCCCAAGAGGCCTGCAAAGCGCCCCAAGAGGCCCCCAGGAGCTTTCCCGCGAGAGCCCCAAGAGGCAAAATTCATGGATTCCCTACACGTTTTTAACAGATTTTGGCGTTCTTGCCTCTTACGCTTCCCGACGCGCCAAGGCGGCCCAAGAGGCCATCAAGATCGCCCCGAGACGGCCCAGGAGGCCCCCAAGAGGGTCCCCTAACGGCCGAAGAAGGCCCCAAGACGGCCCAAGGCGCCCCCAAGACGGCCCAAGAGGCCCCCGAGAGTGCCCCAAGACAGCCCAGGAGAGCCCCGAATTTCCCAGGAGGCCTCCGAGAGTGCCCCGCGAGACGGCACAGGAGGAGCCCTGGGCGGCCCAAGACGGCCTCAAGCGAGCCCCGGGCTGCCCCAAAAGAAAGCCTCTGGCCTTCTTCTCCTCCTCCTCCTCCTCCTCCTCCTCCTCCTCCTCCTCTTATGCCTCTCCTCTCCTTCCCTCCTCCTCCTCCTCCTCCTCCTCCTCCTCCCCCCCCCTCCCTCTGCTCCCCCTCCTCCTGCTCTCCTCTGCCTCCTTCTCCTCCTCTTGCTTCTCCTTCCAAATCCTTCTCCCCCTCCTCCTCCCTCATCCACTCCCCACCTCCCACTCATCCTCCTCCCCCTGCCCCCCCTCGTTTTCATCTTCGTCGTTCTCAGGGTCGGCGGCACTGGCCGCAAGGCCTTCGCAATCACGCTCGGAACCCTAGGCCCCAGACACCATCTTTCTGCGTCATCTGTCGAGCCGGATCGATCTGCAAGGGTCCCGGGGCCCGAGCAAGAAGCGAAAATGCCCGGCTCGAAAAAAATGGGACGCCAGGATCTCAGGGATAGTCGCCGGTCGGAAGGAGTATGTAGACACACGAAGTAGGAAGGCGGATAAAGCAGACTGGGCTCGGGCCCGCCCAAAGAACAACAGAGAGCAGCCGAACCAGATCGGCTCTTGAACTAGGAAGGCGCTTGAAGTAGATTGGCTTCTGGGACTTTGTGGGCCCCGGAAACGTACGGCAAGGCAATTTTTTCACCGTTTCCCAAAAAAATGTCCCTTGAAACTGGAAGCGGCAAAAAAACGGCGACTGGAAACGGCAAAAAAACAGCTCCAGGATTGGAACCAGAGCCAGAACCGGTCAAAAAACGGCGACGGAACCGGTAACAAAAACGGCGTCGGAACCGGCAACCAAAACGGCAAAACGGAACCGGTAAAAAAACGGCCCTGTCGTTTCCAGGGCCCACTAAGTTCTGGGAGTCCAAAAAATGCCTGCGTTAACAGTCCAAAAGATGCCTGCGTGCAACGGCCGACGGGCCGGTCGGCCCCCGCGGTCGGCGTGCGGATGCAGGGCTGCAGCGCGCGTCTCGCGCAGGCCTGCCTGCCTGCCGGGGGCACGTGCCGGCTCCGGGGCAGCCGGTCGCCACGGATAGAGAGAGAGAGAGGGCGACAGAGAGAATGGGGACAGGGTCGGCGGGGCCAGGAGGAGGAGCAGGAGGAGGAGGAGCAGGAGGAGGGAGGAGGAGGAGGAGGAGGAGGGAGGAGGAGGAGGAGGAGAGGAGAGAAGAGATGAGGAGGAGGAGGAGGAGGAGGAGGAGAAGGAGGAAGAGAATAACAATAAGAAACATAATAATAACAAGAAGGAGAACAGTGGAGGACAGAAGAGAGCGTGTCGGAGACGAGGAGGTGGAGTGAGGACGGCATCACACGCCACGGGTTGGGTGGTAGTGCCCCAGTGGCTTCGCAGAGGCGCCCCCCAGGCTCCTGGCGGGGTAGTGTACGCCCACGACCCCGTGCAGGTATACCTTGGCGTACCTCCTCCTCCTCCTCCTCCTCCCCTCCTCCTCCTCCTCCTCCTCCTCCTCCTCCGCCTCCTCTCTTCATCCTACTGTTCCTTATCACCTTCCTCATCTCCGTTATACATCTCCACGTTCTCCTTATGCAAGCCTTAAGGGAATTGCCTCGGTCTCTCGCACCTTCCGTCTTGAGCCTAAAAAGTTGCATTTGGATTTTGCCTCCCCCTGGGCATCGCATTGCCCCACTGCTGAGCACTAGGTCCGAACCAACGGTGCAACTATTGGGCATAGACCGACGGTCGTGGCATTCCTGTCAACAACGAAGCCGTATTCTTAGAACGCAGAACTGGTGTATTGAGACGAAACTATATCAGCCAGAAGCGTTCTAAGAACATGTGATGCAAGCAACAAAAAATTAGCCTGACGAAGGACCCAACCATATGCAGTTGTGAATACCGCAATTGTGAGTACCATCTTCGCCCGCGCTCCCTATGGGGCCACGAAGCATGTGAGGGGTGTGCCAAAATTGGGCGCGTACCGCATGCGGGCTGCGCCACTGGGATCTTGGGTGGAGCTCCCTATGGGGCCACGAAACGTGTGAGGGGTGTGCCTAAATTGGGCGCGTACCGCATGCGGGCTGCGCCATTGGGGCCTAAGGTGGAGCTCCCTATGGGGCCACGAAACGTGTAAGGGGTGTGCCAAAATTGGGCGCGTACCGCATGCGGGCTGGGCCACTGGGACCTTGGGTGGAGCTCCCTATGGGGCCACGAAACGCGTGAGGGGTGTGCCAAAATTGGGCGCGTACCGCATGCGGGCTGCGCCACTGGAGCCTTCGGTGGAGCTCCCTATGGGGCCACGAAACGTGTGAGGGGTGTGCCAAAATTGGGCGCGTACCGCATGCGGGCTGCGCCACTGGGGCCTTCGGTGGAGCTCCCTATGGGGCCACGGAACGTGTGAGGGGTGTGCCAAATTTGGGCGCGTACCGCATGCGGGCTGCGCCACGGGGACCATAGGTGGAGCTCCCTATGGGACCACGAAACATGTGAGGGGTGTGCCAAAATGGGGCGCGTACCGCATGCGGGCTGCGCCACTGGGACCTTGGGTGGAGCTCCGTATGGGGCCACGAAACGTGTGAGAGGTGTGTGCCAAACTTGGGCGCGTACCGCATGCGGGCTGCGCCACTGTGGCCTAAGGTGGAGCTCCCTATGGAGCCACGAAACGTGTGAGGGGTGTGCCAAATTTGGGCGCGTACCGCATGCGGGCTGCGCCACTGGGACCTTCGGTGGAGCTCCCTATGGGGCCGCGAAACGTGTGAGGGGTGTGCCAAAATTGGGCGCGTACCGCATGCGGGCTGCGCCACTGGGGCCTTGGGTGGAGCTCCGTATGGGGCCACGAAACGTGTGAGAGGTGAAGATGATGGTGGGAGGAAGGAGGAGGGGAGAGGAGGAGGAAGGAGAGGAGAGGAGAGGAGGAGGAACGCGGGGCGCCGTCTCTTCAAAACGAGGACCCAACACCGCAGGCTGGTTGGGAAAAAGCGGCATATATGGTGCTACTTCGGCGTGCGTCTTTGGGCTGCGCCCGAAGCATATTTCCGAAAAACTGCAACTTGTGATTTTCATGCCGACGTCTCGGCGTTTTCCTTGATCTGGCGCGCCTAACGCCAAAGGCCATACCTCCTGTTTTTCGGGCCGGGCTAAAACACGGGAAGTAACACCAGCTGCGGCCGGCGCGAAAGACCCAAGAAAACGCAGAGACGTTTGCATGAGCATTCGAACGCTTCGTTTTCGGAAAAATGAGCCTTGGGACCAGCCCGAAAGCCCTCTGCCTCCTTCCTCTTCCTCCTCCTGCCCAACGAGCCCCAGAAAACACTTTCAAAATGTTGCGATGGTCCTCTCCCTCTACGCAATCGAAAAAACCCTGACGAATTTCCATCAACTCCCGTACAATATTCCCACCGGCCAACGTGCGACCGTCCCAAAACGCGGGCGCAAAGCGGGCGCTCCAACGAGGGCAAAACACCATGTCAAAACTTTCGCGATGGTCCTGTCCTTCTACGCCACCGACCTACGTGCGACCGTCCGAAAGCGTCTGCGCAAGGCAAACGTCCCAACGAGCCCCAGAAAACCATTTCAAAATTTTGCGATGGTCTTGTCCTTCTACGCACCCGAAAAACTCACCATGAACTTCCATCCGCTCCAGCGGGCCCAAGCCAGCCCCAAGATGGCCCAAGATGGTCTCAGGACCGCCCAAGAGGCCTCCTTGGTCCTCCTTCCTGCTCCTCCTGCTCCTGCTCCTCCTCCTC